ATATACCATGAAAACAGTAAGCATTAGGAAGCTAATGTACCTATAGTACTATCAGACAAAATAGACTTCAGAACAAAGAATATTACCAGAGATAAAAAGGGATATTTCATAATGGTAAAGAGGTCAATTCATCTGGAAGACATAACAATCATAAATGTGTATAACTTAACAACAGAGCTTTAAAAATAATGAAGCAAATACTGAGAGAAATAAAGGGAGAAATCAAAAATCATAGATGGAGATTTTTACGTTCTTTTCTGAGTATTTGATTGGACAAGTAGACTAATATCAGCAAAAATGTAGAAGATTTGAACTACACTGTCAATTAACTTGACCTAATTGATATTTATAGACAATATACTGAACAACTACTGAATAAATACTTTTTTAAAAGTGCATATAGGACATTTATGATATAGACAGTATGAAAGCCTACAGAATAAGTCTTGATGAATTTCTCTCTATACTCTGTAATATATTCTATATTCAGAGGATATTCATGGAAATTAAACTAGAAATCAGTAACAATAAGCTACAGGAAAATCCTCAAATACTTGGAAATTATGCAATCTACTTCTAAATGACACATAGGTCAAAAAAGTAAAATTACAATGGAAATTTTTATTATCATATTCAGTGATAATAAAAATATGACATATCAAAATTTGGGGGAATGGCTAAAGAAGGCAATTTATACCTTTAAATGCTTGATTTTTAAAAAAGAAAGTTTTAACATCAATTATCTAAATTTTGATTCTAAGGAACTGGAAAAGGATGAGCAAATTAAACACAGAGTAAAAGGAAGGAAGGAAATAATAGGGATAAGAGCAGAACTCAATGAAATAGAAAACAGCATATAGTGGAGAAAATTGATACCAGAAATTAGTTCTTTGAAAATGATATACCTATAGTAAGATTAAAAAAAGAGAGAGAGAGAGTGCAAATAACCAATATCAGCAATGAAAGAGGGGGCATCACTATAGATTCTATAGATATTGAAGGAATAAAAGCATTCTGTTAATAAACTTTATACCAATAAATTTGTCAAAAAGCAAATTCCTTGAAAAACATAATTTACCAATATTGACTCTGAAATAGAAAATATAAATAGCTCTATAACTATGGAAAAATTAATATTTAATTTGAAACATTCTCACAAAGGTAACTCCAGTCCCAGGTAGCATCGCTGGTGAATTCTAACAAACTTTAAGGAAGAGGTAATAGCAATCTTACACAAGCTCTTTCAGCAAAAAAGAGCAGGACAGAACGCTCCCCAATTCGTACTATGAGGCCAGCTTAATCCTGTTATCAAAACCTAATAAAAAGATTAAAGAAATGAAAATTACAAACTGATATACTCCATGAATGCAAAATTGTCAATAAAGTATTTGAAAATCAAATCCAACAATACAGGAAAAGGAAAATATATCGTGACCAAGTGGAGTTTATCCCAGGAATGCATGATTGGTTTAACATTTGAATAGGAAGCGGTATTAGTCACATGAATAATAAAGGCAAAAAATAAATGACTATCTCAATAGATATAGAAAAGCACTTGACAAAAGTTAATATCTTTTTATGATAAAAGCTCAGCAATCTGTGAATAGAGGGGAACTTCCTCAACCTGAAAAAGATCATCTGTGAAAAATTACAGACAACATACTTAATGGTGAAATACTGAGCATTCCCTGCTAAGATTGGAAACAGGGCAAAAATTCTGTCCTCACTATTTAACATCATCCTGAAGGTCCTAGCCAGTGCTATAAAACAAGAAAAAGAAATACAGATCAGGAAGGAAAAGTAAAAATGTCTATTTGTGTACAAAATGATCATGGTTGAAATACTCAATGTTGTTAGGATATTAATATACTCTAGGTTGACCTCTAGATTTAATTCAATCCCAAATAAAATCCCAACAGCCTTATTTGTGGAAATCAATAAGCTGTTTTGTAAACTGATATGGAAAAGCAAAGGACCTAGAAAAAACTAAAAAATAAAAAATCTTGAAGGACTAGGTTGGAGGGTTCAGGCTACCTGATTTCAAGACATCTTACAAAGTTGGCGTAAGAAAGACTGTGTGGTATTTGTATACAGAGACAAATAAGTCAATGAAAGATAACAGAGTATCTGGAAATAGATTCATGCACAGTTGGTAGATTAATTTTTGTTAATGGTGCCAATGCAATTCAATGGGAATAGGAAAAGTTTTTTGATGATGTTGGAACTGGATAAACTTGAGAAAAAAAATGAACCTCAACCCCAACCTCACACTATGCACAAAAATTAATTTGAGATGTTTCATACATCTAAACATAAAAACTAAAACATAGGAGAGTATCTTTGCAACTATGGGGTAGGCAATAATTTCTTATATAGCACATGAAAACACCAACCATCAAACAAAAAATTGATAAGTTGGTCTTCATAAAAATTGAAAATTCTACTCATTAAGAAAAGTATCATTAAAAAATGAATAGACATGCCACAGACTGAGAAAAAGTATTCAATCTATCCAGAATACATAAAGAATTCTTTTAAACCAGTAATAAAAGCACAAGCCTGTTTTTTAAATGAATGAAATACTTGAATATATACTTCCATTAAAAAAATATGTGAATGGCCCATAAGCACATGAGCATATGTGCAATGTCATTAGTTATCAAGGAAATGCAATTTAAAACCATAATGAAATACCATTTCCCACCCACTGGAATGGCTAAAATTAAAAAGGCTGACAACACAAAATGTTGGCAACAATGTAGAGCAACTGGAACTCCTTATATTTCTGGCAGACTATAAAATGGTACAGCAACTTTGGACAACTATTCAATAGTTTCTTAAAAAGTTAAGCACATACTTACTAACAATTTCACTCCTAGATATTTAAGCAAAAGAAATGAAAACGTATATCCACAAAAATACTTATATGAGAATATTTTTAGAAGCCTTATTCATAATATATCCCAGAAGTGTAAATAGCATAAATGTCCATCACAGGAAATGTCCATCACAGATAAATTGTAGTATATTTATGTAATGGAATGCTACTCAGCAAGGAAAAGTATAAACTACTGACATAGACAGCAACATGGATAAGTCCCAAAGACATTACACTGAGCAAAAGAAGCCCGAAACAAAAGAATACATACCACACGATTCTGTTTGTATGATGCTTATGATCAGGCAAAGTAGTCTATGGTGATGGAAATCGAAGCATTGGCTGCAAGGGGAGTTTTGGGCTAGTGAAAATGTTCTGTGCTTTGATTGAGATGTTGGATTCATGGTTGAATATATTTGTCAAAACTCATGGGATCTTAAGATCTGTGCATTTCACTGTATGTAAATTTTACCTCAACAAAACATTTTAAAATAATAATAACTGAGCCCTATCCTAAGACGAAGTCCAACCCCCTCCCCAGGGGTTCCTGGTGAGAGCTCACCTGTTCCACACAGCTGCCTGGTGGTGCCACTTGTCACTCTGGCAATAGGTTACTCTCCTCTGCTCCTCTGGCATTCTCCTAAACCTTGGGTTTGCTTCATACCTAGAGCTCATACCCAGTATCCCCTATTTATTGCTCTTTAAAGATGATTGTGTTTGGCACATCTTCAAAGCTTGAGGATAACTTACAGAATTAGAATGTGGAGAAAACTGCTCTTTTTAAATGTTTAGATAATTGCTTGTATATATAATTCTTACTATGTGCCAGACTGTTTTAAGCACTTTATAGACATAAACTCTATTAATCCTTATGTAAAAGTTACCATTATTATTATTACTTTTAAGAAATAATGTGTGTGTGTGTGTGTATGTGTGTGTGCGTGCGTGCGTGTGTGTGTGTGTGTCCCCATCTGGTACAGGGATCAAACCCTTGACCTTGGCACCATACTCTCTAACCAACTGAGCTAACCAGCCAGCCCAAAGTTACCATTATTAGCCCCATGTTATAGAGGAGGAAGCTCAGGCCCAGAGAGTTTAAAGATCTCACCCAAGATCACATAACTAATATGTAATAGAGCTGGAATTTGAACCCAGGCAGACTGGCTCTAGCACCCATGCCCTTAGCCCCGTCCCGGTGCTGCTTCTAGCATCCTGCCCTTCCTTTCAGGGGTCGCCATTGACTATCTCTTCCTTAACTACCCAGCCTGAGCCCATGTGGCTGGGCCTTCTCACCTCTGCCAAGCAGAATCCCCCTTGTGATGGCCTTTTTTCACAGCCCAGGGCCCTAACCTTCTAACCTCGGGTCCTTTGTCCTAATGTCCTTGCCAGGGTAAGCAAAACATTACTCACATCCTCGTAATCTCTACAGAGATGTCCACCATGTGGCGTCCTTTTACAAGATTAAACAAGATGAATACTTAACATCCCAATCTAAAGCAAATTACATTTGAATTTCTCTGCTGGTTCAAAAGTTCAGAGTTGTGGAAGGGAGGGTCTCCTCCAGAGACATTTGTCAGCATCTTATCTAGAATGCAAAAGTGATTGCAGCTTTAAACTAGCATTTTCTTGTTCATGCTACATGTGTAGAGATCTATTTATAGGCCCCCTATTTATACTTGGGGACAACCAGTAAAATTTATGACCATGCTTTGAAAAGTACAAATCATGGTATGAAGTAAAGCCTTATTGTTTCATTTTTTTTTTCCATATGCAGGAAGAGTTGTGAAATTAGACCATAGAGACCTCTTTTTGGAGTACCCAAGGGCCACATGACACTAGTAACACTAGGCTTTCGTCATTCTGACACTCAGTCATCATTTATTAAGCACCCACTAAAACAGATTTTGTTGGTTCCTGCTGATCCTGATTGTATCCTAAGTGCAATAACACTTAGAATTTATACATCGGGTTGCTTTTTGAAAGCCAAGTAAGATGTTTCTCACCCCACTTATTGCTCTTGGAGCTACCTCCTCCCAGCCAGAGTGGCTGAGATGTTATCAGGATGGTAATGTCATTCCCAGCCCTAGGACTTTTTGTGATTGTGGCCTCCCTATCTTCAAAGGATCAAAGTGCCCCTCAAGGAGGGGAGTGATCCGCAACCTCCACTGGGCTCTTTGCTGAAGGAGAAGGCACCCGATATCGAATATCTACAGGAGGACTGGCAAAGCCAGAAGGCCAAATTGCAAGCCCAGGTAGGAAGACGGCTCTGGTGGGGATGTGCCCTCACACTGAGACCCTGCCCCCTCGTCCTTGCAGACAGCCTTGGAAGTGCATGCAGGACCCCATTCACATCCAAGCTGGGGAGGGCCTCACAAGTCCAGTGCAAAGTGGGATTCTTGGTTTTATTTACTCATTCATTCAGGATCTGCTGTGCTCATGAGTGCCTGCTATGAGCCACCGATGGCACATCCATGAACAAACGAGACAAAATTCCTTGTATTTTACATATAAGGATATGTATGTTTTAGAGCAGAGATGGGAACAGACAATAAGTCTAGATATATGAAATAAGTCACATAGTATATTAGAAGGTGATAAGGGCCTCAGGAGAAAGAAGACACAGGGCAGGGAACAGGGGATAGGAGGCAGTCAGGTGGTGGGGAGTAGGGCGTAATACTACATGGGGTTGTTAGGAAAAGCCCCAGTAAGGAAGCATCTGAAGGAGGGGAGGGAGGCCACCCTGTGGCTCTGTGGAGGGTATTCTCGTCCCCTCTCCGTTTCTCTTGGGAGGGTTCTGCTCTAGCCCATCTTCCCTGCTTTCCTGGCATTCGTGGTTCTAGCTGAGGAGCTCTCAGAAATCTGGCCACCCCCAGGTACTTAAACCTTGCAGTTTCCAACCCCCTTAGAGTTCCCACGGATGGAGGAGGCTCAGATAGGCCGAGATGACATTAAGAAAGCTTTTATTTAAAAAGAAACATCCCAGGAAGAGAAAGGAGCCCGGACTGAGGGCAGGGCGCCCGGTGGGCAGGTCTCGCAGATGCAGCAGGCTCTGGAGCAGTGCGCCAGCGACTACAGGGAGGACCTGCGGGAGCTCAGGCAGCTCTCAGAGCACGAGAGGGAGAGGCTGCAGCGCGAGCTCCAGGAGAGCCTGCAGCAGAACCAGGCCGTGAGAGCCCAGCTGGAGGCTGCCCACCAGCGAGCCCTGCGCATGCTGGAGAAGGCCAAAAATCAGGAACTCAAGGTAAGGGTGATGATTATGAAGTCGACTGTTTCCTGGGTGTCTGCTGTGTGAGCACCACCTATGCATGATAAGGTGCCTTCTGTACGGTATCTCCAATCCCACAGTCATCTTATGAGGTCGTTACTATCGTATGCACTTATTGTAGATGAGGAAAGAGGCTCAGAGAGATTCAGCTACTTTCTCAGGGTCACACAGCTAATAAGGGGCAAAGCAAGGATGGAAGCTTAGGTCTGTTGGGCTTCTTGTATTGCTTGTCCTTACCTGAATGTAACTTTGATAACATAAGAACAACTTGCTTTTGTGACTTGAGCAATGTCACACATGATGCGTGTTGAGGAGTCAGGCTCAACCCAGCAGCTAAAAGGGAAAGCACAGCACAAAGCTCAGAAAGACCAGCTCAGCAGCAAAGACCTTCCAAAGGGTTTGGAAAGTTGTGGTGTGGTGGTCGGGCCCACGACGATGTATAATCCAACAGGCAGTTCAAGCACGTTTCATCTAGCACCTTCTATGCCTACTTTCTGGCATGGCTTGAACATCACTTTCTCGGAAGGCATTCCCTCCCTTAGGAAATTCCTTAAAGAAGTGTCCCATAAGAACAAAGGAGCAAACCATGGAAGAGGGAATACAAAGGAGCTAGGATACAGGGAGTCCAATACAGGAGCAAGAAGGAAGGTTTCAGGAGGCCAGCTGTGCAGCTGGACAGTGACTCAGTGCAGACTGCGGCAAGGGGCTGAGGGCGCTGGAAGAGATGTCTCCAGGGAAAAAAGAACTGATGGATTCTGTGACAGACTTGGTTATGTGGAAAATGGTATCGAAAGTGTTTTACTTTTCAGCTTTTAGAAGTTGTAGGAAAACTTAGCCAAGTATCCAAAGAAAACCAAGCAAATTTTTAAAAATCAGCAATTATTAATGCAAGGAAAAACAAAAACTTGCACAAGGTAAAACTTTAAATCATAATAGTTTATTTAGCTCGGCAGTGCTATTTACATGTTCACAATAACGAAAAGACAGAGTGTATTTCAATATATTCAGAAAGTGATAGAACTGTGTATAAGAAATGGAAGGCATAGAGTGTATGAGATCTAAAATCCTCATATATCATGATGGGAAGATAATTCATAATTGCCAAAACAACCAAGATAGAGCATAATGGAGATATTATCTTTTTAATGGTGGTAAACATCAGAAGAAACAGCTAAAAGAGTTGACAATGGCTGCCTCAAAAAGAGAGCAGGAGGCTGCTGGTTTTCCTTTCCTTTAACTGTTTGGCTTTTCATATTATGCGCATGTATTGCCCTGATAAAAATATAAAATAGGCTTTAAGAAAAAGAAATTAGAGAATAAATGTGAACTGCCTGGCACTTACTAGGTGCTCAAAAAAAAGGTGAGTTCCCTTACATCTTTTATTTTTCTAAGTCTTTTTCCAACTTGGCTTGCAATCTATAAGAGCTCAGGTTGATGACGTCCCAGGTTTATTAGCTGCTGGGTAATGCTGGTCTTTGTGTTCGCGTGAGCTTTACCCCTCTGGGCTGCAGACCTCAATCCCTTGCAGGTGGCAGAGGAAGCACAGAGGCTTTACTTACCTGTGGGGAAGGACTTCCAGGGTACGGGCGGGTTTAGATGAAGGACGGTCTGAGACCTAGTTGTGGGAGAGGGACAGGATATTCTACCTACCAGCTGTGCCAAGCTCCAGTCCCTGGAGCCCCTTGAGCCAGATTCAGGGAGTCTTCATTGCTGGCTCTAGTCCTCATGGGGATGGTGCCAAAATGAAACTAAAGAAGTGAAGTCTCAATTCTGATTGGAAGTACCAGACAAAAAGTCATGCCTAGTACAGTATAGTGTTTAAGAATGGGATGCCTGGGTTCAAGTCCTGGATCTGCCATTTATGAGGTGTGGGAGGTCATTTAACTTCCTCGTGCCTCCATTTCCGCACTGATAAAATGATTGATAATAGTATGTATCTTATGGGATGGTTTAGAAGATCAAAAGAGATAGTACAAGTACTTGGAACAGTACGTGGCTAAGTAAGGGTTCAACTTTTAAAAGGTCCACTCTTATTACTCACTTATTTATTCTGAGGGTATTTATTGAGTGGCAGCTGCCATGTGCTACCACTGTGAGGAGCTCAGGAGATACCAAGAAAGCTAACACATTGTCTCTTCATATGGAGCTCACCCCTGGGGGACAGGCAGCCACTTAAGCAGGTGGCTGTAATTCAACGGGTCAGAGCATGAGAGAGTTACTTAATGTATTTTGGGAGCACAGGAAAGGAGACTTATACAGTATGGGACATAGAAAGACAGGGTGATATTGGGTCCCTTAGGAGGCCTCAAACTGGCCACAACAAGAGCAGGGAGGCTGGAGAAATTGACCAGGGTTGAGTCTCCACCTGGACATAAACCCTTCATGCTGCATTGTGTGGTCCCCACTGCCATGGGCTGAAGCAAGAAAGCAGCAGTTCTGACCTGCACTCTTGGCTGTCCCCGGGGACAGAGAGAGGCCAGGTCACAGAGTCACAGAGTTTGGCTCCCTCTTTTGCAAACCTGTGCTTCAACCTCTCTATTCCCATTTCCCTGGAGAGAAAAATGTCACCAATTAGCATTCTCTAAGACTTGGAGCAAATGTAAGGAGGGAAAGTATCAGAGAGTTTGAATCTTGCAAGGCTTTTCTGTCTTCTCATTAAATAAACTCACGGTGGAATGACTGGGTTGCCCATGGGAGGAGTACAACCATTTCCCTATTGCTGCTGGGAAAGTGGCAGAGACCAAGGCTGGGGCAGGGTCCAAATGCCCTGCCAGGCTTGGGTGGCTGACTTGGGCTCAGAGATGGCTGAGGTCTCCCCTAACAGGAGCCTCATGCATTTGGAGAAATCTCATTGCTCCTTGTTCTGGGGGCTGCATGAGAGGGTGGAAAGGGCTAGGCACAGTCCTGCCTCCACCATTACCTGACTTCAGGCAGGTTCCTCTCCTTTCTCAGTCCCACTTTCATCCTCTGTTAAAAAGGGGGAGGATGATAATTTCTGCATCATTTCTGTGTGACCTTAGGAAAGCTAATTCATCTCTCCCAAACTCAATTTCCTCATCTAAAAACTGGTGCTATGTATTAACTGGAACTCTCTTAGTTGCAGAAAAACCAGAAACTGTATTTGTTTCCTATTGCTGCTATAACAAATTAGCACAAACTTGGTGGCTTACAAGAAGACAGATTTATTGTCTGACAATACTGGAGGTCAGAAATCCTAAAATCAAGGTATTGGCAAAGCTGTCTTCCTTCTAAAGCCTCTAGGGGAGAGTCTGTTGTGTTTTTTAGCTTCTAGAGGTTGCCTGATTTCCTGGCTCCTGGCCTCTTCCTTCATCCTCAAAGCCAACAGATAGCGTCTTCAGATCTCTCCTTCTCTCTTTCTGACTGCTGCTTCCACCATTGAATCTCTGATTGACCCCCCTCCATCCCACTTATAAGGCCCTTGTGATGGACGCCCACCCAGATAATTTGGGATAATCTCCCTTCTCAGTGTTCGTAACTTAATCATATCTACAAAGTCCTTTTTACCATGTAAGGTAACATAACTGGACATGGATATCTTAGGGATTACTTCTGTACCTACCACAGAAACCAACTTGAGCTAGCTTAGGCAGTAAAGAGACATTTATTAAGGCTTACACAGCTGACCATAGAACATGCTTTGGGTGCTTGACACAGAATAGGCCTTCAATAAAAATGTTTATTGAGTGAAAGAATGAATGGGCAAAAGATAAGCCAGTAAATGAGTAAAAAAAGAATGAAAAAACAAAAGAATGAACATATGAATGAACCCAAAGACAGAGACACTGCCAGTTCTCAGGACCAAACTAACCCAGGGACTAAAAGCTGTGGAGACACCCTGCCTCTGTCATTTCTGCTCTGCTCTGCACACCAGCTCTGGGCTCTCTTCACAGATAGCTGCCTCCACCCCCCTGGTCATGGGGCAGATGTAAGATGTTCACCTCAGTGCTCCTGAGTGTATTAAATTTGGAGCCTCACAGTGTCTGTCTAGCTGCCTGTCTCTCTCTTTCTGTCTTCCCTTTTCTCTCCTCTACCTCCTAATAGCAAATTCCCAGTGAAAGAATTCTGATTGGCCTGGGTTGGGAAAGGCATCCACTCTGGTCCAATTAGCTGTGGATGGCGTTGGGTTCACATGGTACAGAATAGCTGCTGTGGCCAGGCCATTGCTGGAGCATCCCTGGTATCCTGATAAGCCCTACTCAGGGGAAAGGCAAATGCTCAGAGTTTCCTGGCTCAGAGGAGCTTAGAAAAGGGGATGGGTCTTGTACCTCTGTGCCCACTGTCATGCCTCCTTCCTCCTGCTTTTGCCCACAGGCCATAGAGGAGCGCTTGAAGAAAGAATCCAGCCACAGCCTCCAGATCCAACACCAGGCACACCAGCTGGAGATCCAGGCCTTGGAGGAAAAGGCCAAGCAAGAGCTGCAGGGGGAGCGTGAGCGGATGCAGGCCCAGCAGGCTCTGCTGCTAGGTACACATCCACCGTCCACCTGGGAGGGCCTGACCACTGCAGGGTCCACACATGGAAACAACAGCAGGCTGAGGGGTCCAGGGGTCTGGAGACACACAGGCTACAGTGACAACCCTGGCTCTGCCACCAACTAGCTGTGAGATTTGGGGCAGGTCACTCTGAACTTCATTTTCCTTTTCTGTATAATGGATGTACGCTTGTCTCTATCTCGTAGTGTTGTTGTGTGGATTAAGTGAGACATTGAAGTGCCTAGCACATAACATGAGCCCAGTGAATGGAGATGCTATTATTATTATCGTTATCATTATTATTATGGAATATAACCCAGATCCCTGCACCTTCATAAGAGTTTCACGGGGTTGCTTCAGCCTCTCATTTCTGTTCTGAAGGTTTCTGCACACGGGGGACCTTAGGCCTCCAGGTTCCTGCATGCCTCTGCGCTTCCTCTACCTGCCCCCACATCATCCCCAGCAGGAAACTCAGCCCCTCTTCAGTTTCCACATCACAAGCCATGCACACAGATTGTTCTGGAAGTTAATGAAGGCAGTTAAGATCTGTGGAGCCAAACTCTGATATTCAATAGCTGTGTGACTTTGGGCAAGTTGCTTAACTGCTCCGTGCCTCAGTCTCCCATCTGTAAAATGAGGATAATAATAACAGCATTTGCCTCATAGGGCTGTAGTGAAGATTACATGAGTAAATACTTGAGAAGTGCTTAGAACAGAGACTGGTATATGGTAAATACATGTTAGCATTCCTGAATATTCCAACATTGCATGGCTGACTCTGGAGCCCTCTCTCTGTTTTTGTAGATTATCTCTCGTGCTCATTTTTGCTTTGACTCTCATTTTCCATCCCACTCTTAAGAGCAAGACAAATACCTCTCCTTACTTCATGCCTAGCATTAAATACCACATTAGCCTTATTAAATATTTCTTCTAAACCCAGACAGGGCACTCCTTCAGAGAATTCTGGGGAAGAGCATTTTCTTTACCTCTGGGAGTGAGTAAGCCCTACCTTGCTGTTTAGTTGAGTTTTCATTACTCCTGTGTCCTGCTGACTGCATGCTTCTGGAGGAGGTGATGTGAATGAGGAACAGGAAGGAACGAGAGAGTCCCTCAGACTTCCCAGTTAGCAGCTACCCTGGAATGGAGGTGGCCCTCATGCGAACGCTGAAGTTAGCAGCATTTAAAGAAGATGCGTTGTACTAGAACCCAGGTTGTGCCACATGGTTCAGTCCATGGCTCCCCAGGTACAGGTTAGGCTGGACACCCTGGTGATTCCAACACCCGGCAGCTGTGGGCACAGATATCCCTGCCATCCCTTCCCTGGCTCCTCTGATCCCACAGCAGCCCAGTTCTTTCCCGAAGAAGAGAATCAGATTATCTGTGGATGATGGCAGGAAAAAAAAAAATAGAATCAGGAAAAACTTTGGGGATAGTCTGGGATTCTCAGCACCAGTCCCAGGAAGAAGGGGCTTTATGGACTCTGTAATGACGATAGCAAATCACAGGCTTCATGGGTAGTTTTGGGTGGGTAGGAGCACCTACCACAATAAAAGGGTGATATTAACTATTCCTGGTCCCAGTTATTTCTATTCCGATGTCTGTGTGAGACGCAGCTGACCTGCAGTATAGGTCAGTGTGTGAGGGGCAGAGAGGCTGATTGTCTACCAGAAGACCTGGTGCGCTGGGGTTGGGACCCAGACATGCTGGATGGGTGACAGGAGGTGAATGGATGAAGGGAAGGTACAAGAGAGGGGGGAGGGTAATGAATGAATACCCTGTAGCTTATTTTCTAGATTATTTGCTAAAGCATTTATTGCACATGTTTTTGTGATAGTGGTTTTCAAAAAAGTGGGTTCTGGGCCGGCCCAGTGGCGCACTGGAGAGTGCGCAGCTTGGGAGCGCGGTAGCGCTCCCGCCGAGGGTTCGGATCCCATGTGGAGACCGGTTCCCGCTCACTGGTTGAGCGCGATGCGGGGCGCAACACCGAGGGTTGCTATCCCGTTACCAGTCAGTAAAAAAGACAAAAAGGAAAAAAAAAAAAGTGGGTTGTGTTCAAGTTTATTTAAAAAAAAAGAAAATAAGTACAGAAATCACTTAATTAAAATTCTTTTGGGGAAGAAAGATGATCTAGTAAATTTTTCATCTTAATATCATCAGAATATATTAAGCTTTTATATGTGTTAATATATTGTACTTTCAAGAGAAGCTTAGTAAGCCTGAGGGAAATCTTTTACAATTGATACACTTTTACGGTATCATCAGCTGTTACTGTAAACATAATGTGTTGATTTTTCAAATATATGTTGAGCACTTGCTCTGTATGAAAGCCTGTACGAGATGCTTATCTTGTGGCTTTTGGAATGATCAGAACAATGTTTCCAAAGTTATATGCAATAACTAAAATGTAGAGAGAGTCTCAAAAGTCCAAAACAGAAAAGTACAGTATCAAATTTACTAGCACTTGAAAATTATCTTCTTTTTAAAAATTAATGGCTCACTGAATAACATCTACTCTATCATAAAACATTCATTTTGAAATAACTGTTGTCTTTGCCCTTCAATCGTGCTGGGAAGTCCTACACTGCTAGAAACCAGTCACCATCCTTAGAGGAGAAGCTCGAGTTTTTAGCCTCACTCTCCCCTGAGTTAAAGAGGGCTTGTGCATTTCTCCTGGATGGCTCTGGCTTTAGTCCCCGATCCTGTTGGGATGACATGCTATCTCCTGCCTCCATGATCCAGCCAAGAACCCACGCCCATGGGAAGGAGAACCCTTGAATGTTTTGTCTCCTTAAGAGTTGACATAAATTTCAAAATTTCTGACTTGAGAAGCTCACCCCTACAAGAGGCCCCGAGGTCATCTGATAATTCGCTGTTCTTTCCTTGGTTTCCTGACTTGGTGCTGAGGCCGAGTGTTGCCTCAGGATTCGGCCCTGGGCTCAGGCCGTCCCACCCTAACTGGCTACCCATCCTGACCAACTAGCAGTGGCCAGGCCCGTGGTTCAGAGTAAAGGAGAACCACTTAGCGTTTTGAATCCCAACTCCACCACTTAATAGCTGTGTGGCTCTGGGCAACTTACTCACCCTCTCTGATGCTCAGTTCCCGCATCATAAAATGGAGCAGGGGTGGGGGAGATAATACATACTAGTTAGGATGGTTGTGGGGCTTCAATGAGAACAGTTTTCAAAGGGTTTAGCACATTTCATGCTCAATACATGGTACTGTGGTTACTGTCATCTTGGAATAAGTTTGGGGATATGAACCCAAAGCTTTCAGCAGCTACCTACTCCACCCCACCCCAGAGACTGTTGTCCCTGCAGGACAGACTTCAGTCTTGACCATGCATCTGACCTGCTGCTCTTTCTTCTCCAGAGTCCCTCCAGCAGGAGCTGTCGGAGCAGCAAGCTGCCTGCTCTGAGCACCAGAAGGACTTGGAGGCACTGCAGGCCAAGCTGAGGGCTCTGGACAGCTTGGGCAGGTGGCAGACCATCAGCCAGTGTCCTGAGGACAACGAGGAACATGCCATCACTGCAGAGGTCAGCGTCCCTGCTCCTGCCCACACCACATCCTGCCCTCTTAGAGCAGCATCAGGGCCACAGTGAGAAGCCCCATAATAAAGGATAGGTTCTGGGTACTCGAACATTCCCCTGCCTGAAATGCGCAAGACACATCTCCTTCCTTAGGCCTGGAGGATACCTGGCGGGCTTGCAGGCTCCCATCTTTGAAAAGCAAACACAGGTTTGAATGCTGCACATTGTTTATAATTCAGATCCAAGGGCATCTCAGGTTGTTAATGCCAAACAGGCCCTTGACACAGCTGGTCCGGGTCACTCCTTTGGATCTGCAGGGGAGTTTCTCAGAACACCTTGCCAGACAGACTCCCTGTCTAGACCTCACTGTTCCCATAGTGGGGGAGGCCTTGTTGTCACCCACGACCAGGCTGACTCTCCTTGAACTTCCTGCTCAGACTTGGCCCATCGGCCCCTTCCCTGCATGTCCACAGTTCCGACTCTAGCTGGATGGCACAGAAGCCGCCTGACAGCTCAGGCCTCTCCCTCCAGCCTATTGCATTTGCGGCTTCAGGTGTTTGTCTAAAGTCCAGCACCATGCTGTATAAAACCCTCAGTGGCTCCCATTGGAATAAACTCCAAATGCCTCAACCTGGCATTGAAAAGCCTCCGCCACTGGCTAAAACCTGTATCTCTAGCCATATGCCCTCTCTGCTCGCAAACCTGGCATCTGCACCCTCCTCCTGACCTTTGCATGTGCCACTCCTCCCGCCTGGCTGCCCAGCCCAGCCCTCCCCAGCGCACGGTGACCCTGACCCTCCATAGTGACCCTGACCCTCCAAGCTCCTGACCACTTTCGGTTGCTACAGCTGCTCTGGCACCAGGACCTACTGCATGGTACAGTTAGGAACCTGTTGTTTCATGATGTCCTTGTTTCCTGAACTGGATTGGGAGTCTTTTGAGAACAAACCATGTCTGTTCTGCCTTCTCTCATCCCTGCCCCCACTCCCAGCTCTCAGCCCAAGTTCTGCCCACATCATGATCTCCACCAGTGGTGTGGATTGTGGCGCTTAGCTGGTGTCCCAGCCCTGCTGAAGGTTCCAGGGACCCGGGGATGATTCATGCCAGATTTTGCTGGAGCTGACTGAGCACAGGAAGATGATTTCTGTGTTTAGTGAGAGAGATTTACAAAGGATGAATCATAGGGAGTTTAACCCATTCAGTTAAGTCTAGCAGAAGGAAGACAGGTGTTCCATTAGGTATTCTAGATTGTTGGGAGCCACTGGTACATATGGAAGGGGACAGGGCAAATGTGGGATGGTGACAGCAGGTGACAGGGGCATGATGGGAATCAGTCCTCACCAAAGGGCTCTGGATAGAAACCAGGAAGCACTGGGCACATGAGATGATCCCTGACCACCCATGCGCCAGCCCTCACCTTCACCCCATAGAAAGGAAGCCCTGAACTTTTCAAAAGGAATAGCATGGCCTCGGGTGAAGACCCACACAGGGAGCAGATGTAGGACCATCAGCCAGGAGGAGCAGCCCCAGGCAGCAGGAGTGAGACAGGGAAGGGGGAGGGGACACAACGCGAGGACACATTGGTAAGCTGGAGGTGTTCCCTCCTGCCGGGATCTTCTGAGAAGCCCTGTGAAATAATTCTCATATTTGTCCCACCCTGGGGACAGAGGGGCATGCATTTTTCCATCAGTTTCCGTCTCCCATTGGTCAAGGATGGTCCCGTAGCACATGAACCCCCCTGCTCTTGCCCTTCCTGGCTGTGCCTTTGTGAATGCCAGGGCGCCCACACCGTGCAGACCCCAGAGCACAAAGCAAGAGGTTAGGGACGCCGGCTACAGATCCTCCCTGTGCAAAGCTGGTCAATCTTTGTGTGCAATGAGCAAATACACACAAGCCTTTGGGCGTGTTTGAGTGAATCTGAAACCAGTCACATTCACTTGTCCACAAATCTGTGTTTCTGTCCGAACCACGGACATTCTAGCGTAAGTTCATTTAGCAAGCACTCATGTGCCACCTACAGAATACCAGCCACTGTGCTGGGTGCTGTGGGACTGCAAGGCTGGAGAGGAGACGGCTGCGTTCCCCGAACAGCCCCAGTCGAGTGGACACCACGTTAGTGCACTTTAGCGTCACCTTACACAGACGAGGTTGGGTCGGTGGTCGACGAGGTTGGGTCGGTGGTCGGAGGACCGCGGACTGTCACTTCTCGCCTGAGGGTCGCAGGAACCTTTAGGTGGGGACTCCAGGAAGGGGGACGACAAGGGCAGAGGCTGGAGGAGGGAGACAGGGGTGCGTTGCCCGCCTGGGTGTCAGCCGCGCTCTTGGCTCACCGGTGTTATTAAACCTTCGGCGGCCTGTGGCCAACTCCCAAAGCAGGGAAACTTTGGGAGACTGGACGACACCCCCCAAATCAGGGGCTCCGGGCTGGGCGGAGCACACACGAGAGTCCATCTTCGCCGCAGCTCATCCCCGGTCCTTTGGGCCTTGTCCCCCCTTGCGCCTCCTGAAAACCCTCTTCTGGCTGCCTTCTCCTCAGGAGCGGGGCGGCCCGGGCCAGGCCGCCCCGCT